TTTTTTCTCTTTCCTTTTTTCTTCCTGATCAGTTTGGCTAGAGTTTTACTAATTTTATTATTTCCAGAAAACTGCTTTTGGTTTTACTTTTTACTTTATCTATTGTTTTCAGTTTCCTTCATTGTTTTTTCACTCTTATTTTTTCCTTCCATTTACAGAATTTTGGTTTAATTTGCCCTTTTATAGCTTTTTATGATAAAATCATTGATTTGGGACTTTTCTTTTTTCTAACAAACATTTACTGATATTGAATGTGTCTATTTTTAAAAAAATTTTTATACAACTTTATTTTATTTATTTTTTACTTTTTATGTGGTGAGGATTGAACCCAATGCCTCACTATGCTAGGCAAGTGCTTTACCACTGAGCTACAGCCCCAGCCCTTGAATGTGTCTGTTTTTTACCAGACATATTGGTCTGTTCAGTTTATTATTGTTTTGTTATTATTGTTTATTATTACTTTGTGTCTGTTTTTTTAACCAGATATATTGGTCTGTTCTTATTTATTCAGTTTTTATTTTTATTCACTGATAAATGTTTAAGCACTGCTTTAGCTGAATCTAATTTTTTTTAATATTTATTTTTTAGTTATCAGCGGACACAACATCTTTGTTTGTATGTGGTACTGAGGATCGAACCCGGGCCGCACGCATGCCAGGCAAGCGTGCTACCGCTTGAGCCACATCCCCAGCCCATGAATCTAATTTTTTTAATAACTCATTTGAAAATATTTTCTTCTTGTGATTTCTGTGACTCAAGAATTATTTAGAACTTTGTTTAATTTCTAAATATTTAGAGGATTTTTTAGACAGCTTTCTGTCATTGATTTCTTATTCAAATTCATTAGTGGTCAGAGAACATTCTTTGCATGATTTTACTCATTTTTACATTTGTACAGATGTTGTTTATGTTTCAGAAAATTTTCTGTCTTGGCAAACATATTGTGTGCTTTTGTCAAAAGTATATGTTCTTATTTTTGTGGTGTGTGTGTGTGTGTGTGTGTGTGTGTGTGTGTGTATGTGGTGTTAGAGACTGAACTCAGGGCTTTATACATATTAGGCATGTGATCTACCACTGAACCATAAGAGCTCTTATTTTTACAGAGTATTTTATTTTATTTTTTTAAATTTTTTATTGTTGGTTGTTCAAAACATTACAAATTTCTTGACATATCATATTCCACACTTTGATTCAAGTGGGTTATGAACTCCCACCTTCACCCCATACACAGATTGCAGAATCACATCAGTTACACATCCATTGATTTACATATTGCCATACTAGTAGTGTCTGTTGTGCTCCGCTGCCTTTCCCATCCTCCACCATCCCCCCTCCCCACCTCTCCCCTCCCCTCCCCTCCTCTCTCTCTACCCCCTCCACTGTATAACCCTGAGGGTCTCCTTCCATTTCCATGCAATTTCCCTTCTCTCTCCCTTTCCCTCCCCCCTCTCATCCCTGTTAAATGTTAATCATCTTCTCCTGCTCTTCGTCCCTACTCTGATCTTAGTTACTCTCCTTATATCAAAGAAGACATTTGGCATTTGTTTTTTAGGGATTGGCTAGCTTCACTTAGCATAATCTGCTCTAATGCCATCCATTTCCCTGCAAATTCTATGATTTTGTCATTTTTTAATGCAGAGTAATACTCCATTGTGTATAAATGCCACATTTTTTTTATCCATTCATCTATTGAAGGGCATCTAGGTTGGTTCCACAGCCTTGCTATTGTGAATTGTGCTGCTATGAACATTGATGTAGCAGTGTCCCTGTAGCATGCTCTTTTTAGGTCTTTAGGGAATAGACCAAGAAGGGGAATAGCTGGGTCAAATGGTGGCTCCATTCCCAGCTTTCCAAGAAATCTCCATACTGCTTTCCAGATTGGCTGCACCAATCTGCAGTCCCACCAGCAATGTACAAGTGTACCCTTTTCCCCACATCCTCGCCAGCACTTGTTGTTGTTTGACTTCATAATGGCTGCCAATCTTACTGGAGTGAGATGGTATCTTAGGGTGTTTTGATTTGCATTTCTCTGACAGCTAGAGATGGTGAGCATTTTTTCATGTACTTGTTGATTGACTGTATGTCCTCCTCTGAGAAGTGTCTGTTCAGGTCCTTGGCCCATTTATTGATTGGGTTGTTTGTTCTCTTATTGTCTAATTTTTTTGAGTTCTTTGTATACTCTGGATATTAGGGCTCTATCTGAAGTGTGAGGAGTAAAGATTTGTTCCCAGGGTGTAGGCTCCCTATTTACCTCTCTTATTGTTTCTTTTGCTGAGAAAAAACTTTTTAGTTTGAGTAAGTCCCATTTGTTGATTCTAGTTATTAACTTTTGTGCTATGGGTGTCCTATTGAGGAATTTGGAGCCCGACCCCACCGACTGTAGATCGTAGCCAACTTTTTCTTCTATCAGACGGCGCGTCTCTGATTTGATATCAAGCTCCTTGATCCATTTTGAATTCACTTTTGTGCATGGCGAGAGAAAGGGATTCAGTTTCATTTTGTTGCATATGGATTTCCAGTTTTCCCAGCACCATTTGTTGAAGATGCTATCCTTCCTCCATTGCATGCTTTTAGCCCCTTTATCAAATATAAGATAGTTGTAGTTTTGTGGATTGGTTTCTGTGTCCTCTATTCTGTACCATTGGTCCACCCGCCTGTTTTGGTACCAGTACCATGCTGTTTTTGTTACTATTGCTCTGTAATATAGTTTGAAGTCTGGTATCGCTATACCGCCTGATTCACACTTCCTGCTTAGCATTGTTTTTGCTATTCTGGGTCTTTTATTTTTCCATATGAATTTCATGATTGCTTTCTCTATTTCTACAAGAAATGCCGTTGGGATTTTGATTGGCATTGCATTAAACCTATAGAGAACTTTTGGTAATATTGCCTTTTTGATGATGTTAGTTCTGCCTATCCATGAACAGGGTATATTTTTCCATCTTCTAAGATCTTCTTCTGTTTCTCTCTTTAGGGTTCTTACAGAGTATTTTATAAATGTCAGTCAAGTTAGTCGACATGGTTTAAAATATTTGTATCTCTAAATATTTAGTATGTCTTGAGTTTATTTAATCTCATAACATCACCTTTATTCATTTTAATTAAATTTATTTATTATAGTTAGGTATATATGACATCAGAATGCATTTTGATTCATTGTACACATGCAGCTCAACTTTTTTCTCTGGTTATACATGTAGCGTCGCACCGTATGTGTAGTCATACATGTACCTAGGTTAATGAGGTCCAACATCCACCTTTCAATTGAAATGGCTAGATCATGTGCATTTAATATAATTATTGAGGTTAGATTTAAATCTTTCACCTTGGTATTTGTTTTCTATTTATCCTATCTTCCTCTTTTTTTCTTGTCTTCATGTGGGTCAGGTATTTTTTTAATCATTCCATTTTTCTTCAGTATTGGCTAATTACCATACCTATTTGAAAAGCTTTTTTTGGTGGTCATTCTAGAGTTTACTACATATAACTAACTCTTCTCAGTCTGTTTTTGTGTACTATTATAACTTGTCATATGAAGAGTAAGAACCTTGCCACGTCTATATCTTGCCTCCTGCCTTTGTTTCTTTACCATACTTTTTTGCTTTTCTGGATGTTATAAATCTTACAAAATATTCTTATTTTTGCTTTAAACAATTTATTGTATAATAAGGGGATTGGCAAAAATTAGAAAAATACAATTTCTTGTATTTATTCATGTATTTATCATTTCGTATGCTCTTCAGAAGTTCTTTAAAGGTTCTGAATTTCCATGTAGTATCATTTTGTTCTAGTAAGGAACTTCATTTAACTTTTAAAAAATACTCAGGTGTTATTGTAAAAGTCTATTTTGCATTTATTTTTGAAATTTTGCTGTGCATAGAATTCTTGTTTTTTAAAATATGTTTTAATTTGTTCTAATTACTTATACATGACAGTAGAATGCATTTTTGACACATCATATGTAAATGGAGTATAACTTCTCATTTGTCTGTTTGTACATTATGTAGAGTTACACAGTTATGTAATCGTATGCACATAAGGTAATAATGTATAATTTTTCTGCTATCATTCCTACTCCTAAACCCCCTCCCATCCTTTCCTCCCTTCTTTCTAATCCAGAATATCTCTATCCTCACCCCCACCCCATTGCAAATTAGCACCCACATATCAGAGAAAACATTTGGCCTTTGGTTCTTTGGGATTGGCTTATTTTGCTTAGCATAACATTCTCTAGCTCCATTCATTTACCTGAAAATGCCATGATTTTATTTTCTTTTAATGCTGAGTAATACTCCATTGAGTATATATACCATAGTTTCTTTATCCATTCATCTACTGAAGGGCATCTAGGTTGGTTCCACAGGCCTGGCTATTGTGAATTTTGCTGCCATGAACATTGGTGTGGCTGTGTCACTGCAGTATGCTGATTTTAAGTCCTTTGGGTATAAACCTAGGAATGAGATGACGGGGTCAAATGGTGGTTCTGTTCTATTCAAAGTTTTCTGAGGAATCTCCATCCTGCTTTCCATAGTGGTTGTACCAATTTTATATTCTCATAGGCAATAGTAAACTATAAAATGGCCTTAGTCACTAAGCTATCTTTATGTATCTTATCTTCTTTACAGGATTATACATTACTTGTTTCTAATGTATCTTTTGTCACCCTCTATCCCATTTAGGATAGACACAAATTACTCGTTGAAAGATTAATAAAGAACAAGTGAACTTCATCCCTGTAAGAAACCTTGTCTCTGGTGATGAGAACTTAGAGAAAAGATATGTTGCCAGGCATATGAATGTAAAGATACCAGTTTTAAGCAAAGGATTTAATTTACAAGAATTAAGTATGAGCAAAGGATTTAATTTACAAGAATTAAGTATGTATATTGCTGAAAAGAACACAGATTTCTGATGCTATCAAATACATTTTCATATATCATCAAAACATTAATAATTCTGTTATACTTGGAAATAAAATGGAAACTTTTCTTTTTTTTCAGTGCTTAGATGAATACGAAGATGACGAAGCGGGGCAGAAAGAGCGGAAGCGAGAAGATGCAATTACACAGCAGAATACAATGCAGAATGAAGCTGTAAGTTTATTAGATCCAGGCACTTCCTGTCTGCCACCGGTGAGTATTTAAAAGTATCAGGAAGTCACTAGCTATTTTAACAACAATTTCAAAGTTGTTGTTAATAATTTTTTCAGTCTCATTTGGTAGCAGCAGCTTTTAAAAATTATTTCTAGTAGATTTAACCATTGATTTCCTTATATTCAAATACTTTTTGACTTAAGCAGTGTTTAGCTTTAGTTTCTTATCAGTGAGTATTTGCCAACTGACTAGCAGGTTTAAGTAGCGTCAACTGTAAAAACAACAAAAGAAAAACAATTACCTCCTTGCTGTAAAAAAAAAAAAAAAAAGTATGAATTAGTAAATTGGATTGAGTGACCATTTCTATGCTAGGCTGCTTTTTGAGTTAGAATCACATAGCAAATAATTGAACATAATATTTTCTCCAAAGTCAAATGTTTAAACATCATAAGCACAATATATAGATCATGAATTTCCAGGAATATCTATATTTCTGTGTAATTATACTTTTAAACTAAATTTTAACTCACTTTCTAATTAGCGGCTATTTTAGACTTTTGTGGTACAGAAAATTTGATTGGCAATAGAGGTTACAGGGTTGTCTCAGTAGCTGGGTATAGTGTTGTATGTCTGTAATCCCAGAGGCTTGGGAGGCTGAGATAGGAGGATCTCGAGTTCAAAGCCAGCCTCAGCAACAGTGAGGTGCTAAGCAACTCAGTGAGATTCTGTCTCTAAATAAAATACAAAATAGGACTTAGGGCTCGGGGTGTGACTCAGTGGTTGAGTGCCCCTGAGTGCAATCCCTGGTCGTGTCCTCCCCTAGCCCCTCAAAAAGAAGGGATGTCTTAGTATATAGAAAAATCACTATAAGTGTGTGTGTGTGTGTGTGTGTGTGTGTGTGTGTGTGTTTTGCCAGGAATCAAACCCAGGGCCTTAAACATGCTAATATGCATGTTTTTTACCGCTGAGCTATATTCCTAGCCCTAGAATCTTTTTATCTAAACTGTAATTTGGAAATATTCTTAATATAATCTGGTCTTAAATTATTTTTGTGGCATTTTGAGATCTTGAGCTTAATGTGTGTCTTTTCAGAGTTCTATCTTGACTTTTTAAATGTGTTTTATTATAACACTTTAAAAAGAATTTCAGAGGAATATACACATCTCCCCATTTTATTGATTTAAAATGATGAAATATATCAACTTATATAAGATTATGAAGGTAAATGAAGGCCCAATATTTTGAAGTGATTAGGAACCACAGAAGTGAAACTTCTTTCTCCTCTACTTTCAGAGGCAGAATGTATTGACATGCAGTTTCATGGAGTGATATAGGTTCATCTGTTTTGTATCCCCCCCAAGTTGCTGCTACTGAATTGTGATGGTAATCATCACAATTCTAGGAAAAATAGTACTGTATTTTAACATGGTATAATCTATCAGCCAATTTTCTTTCAGCATTTTTGTGACTGTTCATTATCTAAAATAATTGTTCCATTTGTGTAACATAGTTGAAATTAAATTTTAGTGAAGACTTCCTGCAAGATGAAAGCTTAATTCATTGAGTCTAAAATTGGTTTCAGTTCTTTCCCATGCTTACTTACTCTGGCATACCCAACCTCAGGCAGTGGCTTAAGAAAGTGAGCTTTCTTTTGTAGCCATAGGGCTCTATCCACTCACAGTCTAATATTATTTCCAAATATATGGACAGATTTGGAACTCAACTGTTAACTCAGCTGACCCGGGCTCTGAAGAGCTTTTCATTTCATTCAATTTTCCTTCTTTGCTGTAGCTTTTCTAGTCTCTTTCCAGGCCCACCCCACCGCCACTCCCTACCCCCCACCCTCTGTGCATGCTTTAAATTATTATTTGGGATTAGTTATTGATCACTCATTGGTAACCTTGGTTTCAAGTGTCTGTTTTGCCAGTTATTTGCTTAGAGTGAGAGTGAGGCTAAGATTTTCTTGTGGGCCTCCCTAGTTGCCCCATTAAAGTTGGAGTGGGAATAGGGAATACTCTGTCCATATAGTTGATTTCTCTGAGTTACTATCTATACTCACATATTCTGTGACTCATAAAGGATACACATTTGTAAACAACTCCAAACAACAACAACAGAGAGAGAGAACAAAACTACTGACGTCATTGGTTGCTTTAAAGCTTTTGGAATAGGACAGATAGAAAGACTATTCCCAGTATTGTGACTGAATCTTAGCCCTTAGGTGGAACAAATCTTTAAAAATGAACAGGATGGTAATATGAGTATGGCATGACAGTATGCTTTATGAAATTTTAGAATATTTTAAGTTTCTAATTAAAAATTTTTAAATGCAAAATAGTATTAACAGATAATGAGAATTCAGAAGTTTTATATTTTATCTATGATTTTATACATATTTAAAACTTTTTAGGGGCTGGGGATGTGGCTCAAGCGGTAGCGCGCTCGCCTGGCATGCGTGTGGCCCGGGTTCGATCCTCAGCACCACATACAAATGAAGATGTTGTGTCCGCCGAAAACCAAAAAATAAATATTAAAATTCTCTCCCTCACTCTCTCTTAAAAAAAAAAAAAAAGATTAAAAACTTTTTAGATGATATTAGTTTTGCAAATGAGAATTTCTGATCAAATGGCAAATTTCAATGATCAATGAAATTTGGAAAATAATAAAGCATGTGAAGAAAAGGGAAATTATTTTGGTTGTTCAGTTTTCTTTTATGCTCTGTTTTTTAAAGAACAGTTTATTAAATTTGAAACTTTAAACGTAATTTATTGCCAAGCATTGTGGCACGTGCCTGTAATCCCAGCTGCTCAGGAGGCTGAGGCAAAGGATTGTAAATATGAAGCCAGCCTGAGCATATAGCACAAGACCCTCTCTCAAAAACAAACAACAACAAGAAAAATCATTTTTATTTAAACTTAATTTTTAAAAAGTGGTATATAGTTTTATGCTAGAAAACACAGAAGCATAAAAGGATATATGATAAAAATGCTTCTTCACCTACTTGGTTACCTTCTCTGGAGATAACTAATGCTTTCCTTTTTTGTATATTCTTTTAGGACTGATCTATAAACAAAAATTTTTCTATATCCATACTTATATGTCTGTATATGTATTTCTTTAAAAAAATTTTTATTAATGCCTAATAATTATATACACTTGTGATTCATTGTGACATATTTGCTCATGTACATAAAACGTAATTTTATCAATTTCACTTCCCAAGGCTTCCTCTAGCTTTCCCCTCTCCCTGACCCTCATCTTGTGCTCTGTTGGTCTCCCTTCTATTTTCATGAGATCTTTTTTTCCCCTTCTCTCTAACCTCCACCTATGAGAGAAAAAATGTCCCCTGATTTGCTGAGCTTTGCTTATTTTTCTGAACTGGATGTTCTTCAGTTTCATCCATTTTCTTGCAAATGACATAATTTCATTCTTGTTTATGGCTGAATAAAACTTCATTGTGTATATTTATGGCATTTTCTTTATCTATTCATCTACTGATAGTCACTCAGGCTGGTTCTATGACTTGATTATTGTGAATTGTGCTGCTGTAAACATGGGTGTGTATGTGTCACTATTGTACATACGGTTACTTTAATTGTTTTGGATAAATACTGAGGAGTGATATGGCTGGGCCATATGTGGTTCCATTTTTAGTTTCTTGAGGAAGCTCCATACTATTTTCTATGTGATTATACAAATTTACTTTCCTACCTACAGTGTGTAAGAGTTTCTTTTTCCCCATACCCTCAATGGTATTTATTGTTGTTTGTATTCTTAATGGTTGCCATGCTAACTGGAATAAGACGGAATCTCAGTTTAATTTTTAAAAGTATTTTTAAAAATTTTTTTTAGATGTTTATGGACCTTTATTTTATTCATTTATTTATATGTGGTGCTGAGAATTGAACCCAGTGCCTCAGACATGCTAGGCAAGCACTTTACCACTGAGCCACAACCCTGGCACTCAGTGTAATTTTGATTTGCATTTCCCTAATTGCTAAAGACATTGAACATTTTTTCATATATTTGTTGGCCATTTGTACTACTACTTTTGAGAAATGTCTTTTTCATTCATTTTCTCACTTATTGGTCAGGGTTTTTATTTATGTTTTTTGAGTTTTTCATAGATTCTCAATGTTAGAAGAGTAAATGGCAAAAAATTGTTTCCATTCTGCAGGCCATCTGTTTATACTTTTGTTTCCTTTTCTGTACAGAAGTTTTTAAATTTGATTCCACCCCATTTCTTCATTCTTGGTATTATTTCCTGAGCTTTAGGAGTCCTACTGAGGAAATTTTTGCCTGCCTGTATATTGTTAGAGTGTTTCTCCTATGTTTTCTTTCAGCAATTGTAAAATTTCTAGGTTTTTGATCTACCTTGAGTTGACATTTATGCAGAGTAAGAGGGACATACATATGGATACCCAGTTTTCCCACCATTAGTTTAAAATGCTGTCTTTTTTCCAGCATATGTTGTTTGTGCCTTTTTCAGATATCTGTGTGGGTTTGTCTGAGTCTACATGTTCCATTGGTCTGCTTGTCTCTTTTTATGCTGGTACCAAGCTGTTTTTGTTACTATAGCTCTGTGGTATAATTTGAAATGGTATATTGTGATGCATTCAGTATTGCTCTCTTTTACTCAGAATTGCTTTGGCTATTCTGGGTCTTTTATTCTTTCATATGAATTTTGGGATTTCTTTTCCTAGTTTTCTGATAAATATCATTGGTATTTTGATGGTAATTATAGATCACATAGCCAAAACTTGAGAGATATCTTTGTCTTCTAATGTCCTCTTCAGTGTTCTTTAATTTTCATCGGAGAGATCTTTCACCTCTTTGTTTAGATTTGTTCCTAAGTGGGCTTTTTTGTTGTTTTTTGGATTTTGTTTATTTGTTTTGTTTCTGTTGTTGTTGTTTTGAGGCCATTGTGGATAAAATTGTTTTCCTGATTTCTTTCTCAGCAGCTTTATTATTGGTGTATATAAAAGCTATTGATATTTTTATGTTGGTTTTGTGTTCTGGTACTTTGCTAATTTGTTTAT